TCCTACTTGATTCTTCATATTCTTCTGGGGTTAATTCGAAAACGGTAAAAGTGGGACATAGATGAATTTCTGGTAAAGTCGGTATTACTAATGTATCAAAGACTGAAAAACTGTTGAATCAACATTTGTTAATATAATTGAGAACAACGGCTTATACTGAGGCTGTTATATCTTATCTGCGGAAATTATTTCTATTCATCATGAGCTTTTATTTATTCAGAAGCATTAAAAATTAATCTTTTATTCCGATTCATTCAGTTTTTAAACCTGAAAGTCAGTCAGGACATGTAGCTGAAAGTCATTAATCTAAACTTAGGTTTTCATAGCCGAAAATACCATATTTTGAACTAATGAATTCTCAACAATGGTGATATCAATGAGTTAATAGCTATTGTTTCCAAATCTGTTGATACTCTGTGTGAACATTATATCCCATACTTGTCATCGTATATTATGTAGCATCGTAAATTATGTAAAGTAGCAAATTCTTCAAAAATGGCATGTGTTTATAAATCAATATAATGTTATGTAAAACTTTAATTCAAATACTGGAACATTAAAAAAAAAAAACAGAAATCCAAATAGGAAGTTCTGACACTCCTATGAGTAGATCATTTGTGGCTTACCCAACAGCCTTTTCTAAATGAAAAGAACACACCTGCAAGAAGAAATATTAAAATTTCTTTATCTGTAATACATATTTTAATGGCCACAATTTTTTATAATTTTAAGGATGAAATACGTTTATTCTTTTAATCCATTTTTATTTCAATTGATTAGAAATACTCCATTAAAAACTGCAAAAATTTTTAACTTTTATTTTATTTAAAAATTTTAAACCACGGGTATTTTTTAACATTTTACTCGTATAACATTAGGTATTTTTAAATTTAAGATTAGAGCAAACTGTTTGGTATTCAGCTAAAAATACTTTTTAAAAATATTTTAGGGATCGTCGCATGAGTCATCTGCCGCACGACGATCGTCATGTAATATTGAAAGAAAAAAACTAACAAATTATTCATTAGATTGCATTTGGGATGTACGAGTAAGTTCTTCAGGTGTAAAGTAAGCGATAAGCTTTTGTAGTGTTTCGATTCTTTTAAATGTATGCCAAGTTAATGGTGGCCATAGCTGAATTATTCATTAAAAAATATAAAACATACAACAAACATAATATATAAAAAACAAACATAATTCATTAAAAATATAAAACATACAACGAAAAAAAATCTGAAAATTTCCAGATTTTATATTACGTCCAAACTCGAGTTTTTTTCATTTACGAACACATACACGTTTAGAGAGCATTTGGGTTAACGCGTCTTTGGACTAAAAATATTTAAAAATCTTTAGAATATATGATAGAAAGTCTCGCTCGCTGGAGATAAAAGTGTTTTCTTCTTTACAATGTTGCCACTGTTCACTTTGAAATCGTTGAGGTTTTTAATAAAAAATTCGTTCAAGTTTTACAAAATATGAAACAAATTCCAAATTCGGGCTTCCAGGTCAGGTGGAGGGCTACGCTATTCCGAATTTGATGGCTCTCGCTACCGCTGTTTTTTCACATTGTGAGAAACATACATGCTTTTACGCAGATTCTTTATTATTTAAGTTTTTAAATATAATACAGGGCAATAATATTTAGTGACAACGCAAATTCCCATTTTGAGACTAATAGCCCTTTTTGGTTAACGTCATTTGGGCTAATGATTGTAAAAAACAAAACAATCAGTTTCTTAAACATGGACGTGTTTATTTAGTGCCATATGATTACTGAAATTAGCGAAATTAATAACCATGACTCTCCATAAGTTGTTTTAAACACTACTTAAGCATTATTTAGATACTTAACTCCTTTAAAAAAAAAAACTGATTTTTAAAAACTTTCTTAATGCATTTGAATTCAGCTTTCTTGTAAGCATGGCATGTACATTTAAATATTTATACTCATTGTACGCTTGGTGCATCATAATTTTATAAGTTATGCGCCGTAAAACCCTGCCACCACCAGTTTTCTTTGATGCAAGTTCATTTTGCTTTCAGCCGCTGCCTTCTCTCTAGAAGAATCCAACGCAATCAAATGCTGTTGGAGGAACAAATATAGGCTGAAGCAAGCCTGGCACCTGTGCATCCATCTAGGCATATTAGATATCATCTTGACTTACTACGTGTTTAGCTTCCGCCCCGGATGGAATTCCTTGTGAGAACACACGGATCTCGATTCAAGGGTCTTCCTCTACCCTTTCCCTACCAACAATCTCTAGAGCGGATTTCGGCTCCCTGGGCGGCTTTTGGGTACTCCCTTGCCGCTCACATACTATATGCTTACGTACATCCATGCCCTCTCAGGGAACGGAACCCTGGCCCTTTGGTATGACAGTCAGCGATATTAACCACTGCCCATCTGGGCGTCAAAATTTAACACTTTGATTAATTCGCAAACCGATGGAGTTAGACATTGAAGTAAGTGGTACAGGTAGAAGTTAGGCCAGCAAGTCTATAGTATTACAGGTGAGCAAGGTGTTGCTGCTCTACCTGAGCAAGGTGCTGCTGCTCTGGTGATAGAGGACGCTACCTGGGTCCTCTATCACCAACCTCTCAAGAGAACTTTCGGCTCACCGTGTATTTTGAGTGCCAGCTTGCCGCACAGACAATATGCGTTTACAGACATCCATGCCTTCTCCAAGATTCGCATCCGAATCATTCGACACGTCAGCCTCACTAACCACTATATCGGCTGGACGGCTGTTGGAGGAAAAATTTCAGTCCATCACCAAAAAAATGCTCTATAGATCTGAGATTTGAATGCAGATTTTCATCTAAGTTGCATACGTACGCCGCCTTGCAATGATTTTTATGAATGTTCACAAATACTTTCAGTTCCCGTGCACAAAATCGACTGCAGGAGATGGACATAAAAATCATGTACATTAATGCAAATAATATGTTTCGAAAAACTCCCATGGTTATGCAAAGCAGTTACATTTCTACATAGTGCAACCGTAAGAAAAATTATGAGGAACAGTAGTCGACAAATGCTTAGCTTTAGTCAGCGTTGCAAATTAATTGAAAAGAAAGAAAAAATGCTTTCATACGTTCATCCCCAAGAGTGTTCTTGATCTGAATTGGAGTAAAGCTGGAAAAGTCACGCTATTATAAATTAAAATTTATGACTCAAAACGGATTTTCTCCGTGACAAATTCAAGGTTGTTTTCGAGTCTATCGACGACATTCTTGAATTTAATAGATGAGATAATAACAGCATCCATTTCAATACTTTTATAGGTACGCGGATTTAAAAACTATGGCATTTCCTTTAATGTGAAGCAGTTATAGTTTTTCAGATATGCCCCATTTGAGGATCAAAATGGCAATGACATTTCATAAATATGAAAAACTTTAGTTTGATAAAACGGGCAATATATTACTTTTCATAAGAAAAATTGCATTCTTCGCGCAGTGTAAAATCGTTATAAAATTGACAACAGAGTTATGAAAGATTATGAATAGGACTGATAAATGGGAATTCAGAATTAAATATCTGTTTATTTAAATTTGTTCTTAACAACATTCCATTTCAACAATAAAGATTTAACATTTAAGAATTATTAATAATTCCAATTATTTAATAACAAATACTTGTGAGTAATATTCGTAAAACAGGAAGTAAAACACTTCCTTTTTTACGAATACATTTTAATCGACGACGAAATTTTCAGCTAACGATGATGATAACTTGGTAAGAAATGTTAAAATCATTTTTGTCCTCTGCAAGAATTTTATTTTCTGAACAAACAGCGTAAACTCATTTTGGTGAGAGGCCCTCATGGACTCCCATGCCATGGATACCAACACGCGAAAGAACAGCGCATTATAAAAAAAATTAAAGCACGTGCGCAGAAAGCACCCATTCGGCCACACCTCTACACATTCTATTTGCTCCACCCCGGTCGGACGACAGAGCGACACTTCATCCCTCACCATACGTCCCGCATCACTCCCTCACACGAGTTCGTTATTTATGTGTCCCGCGACAGTATTGTAGATAGGATGTTCTTCCACCAACTGTATTAAAGGTTTTAGGGTTCTTTGCTCTCGCAGTGATTCGTTTAAAAGATGTTCATGGCATGATAATATTTTAATTTTACACTCCTCCGCCATAAAGGAAGAATTGAAAGCGTCTGATCCATTTCTGTCAATGGGCAAAAATTCATTACACAGACGAAACTTTTCAGTCCAGGTAGTTGATTTTTCCACTACTCAAACGCAATTTCGATGCATCGAGGTAGAATCTGTAGTAATCGTAGAAATGCAGTTTGGTAATTAAATTGTATGAATAGAGTTAGAAAACCTGTCTACAGATAGATTATTGTGGATATAAAAAGTAGAAAGCGAGATTCTGAACATGAGTTTGAACTTAGTAAAGTTTCTCTCCGAAATTAAGTTTTAAAACTCCTTGTAAATTTATTTGCCTCAATTACTTGGATTTAAAAAAAATAATTGGGAAGTATAATTAAAATATGAGTTACCAGTAATTCATGGTTGTCAAAAATTTACTCTCTCCTAATGCAGTGTATTCTTTCTGGTTAACATTATTTGTTCATCGTTTCTAAGAAAGAAAGATCTCACTACCGGATAGGGTATTTTATAGAGGGGGAAAATAGCCATTTATTTTAGGGAAGGTTATCATCAAAAAAAAAAAAAAAAGGCAAAGGGTATTATCCTCTCAATTATCACCTGTATCTCAGAAGCTTCTTAGTCAGTCTACATCCTTCCCCAAAACGTCACAATCTACAATCGCAGAAGTGCTAAAGAGGTCTGCTCTCTGTCATTCAAGTAAAGAGATAGACCGCACAAGTCGACCCCCTTGTCCCACAATCACTGACCCTCGACCTACGCTCTCGCAACCCATAAACTCAAAGGGGAGCAAAGCACCACCCCCGCTTGTCGGAAAAAACACGCTGTTGCCGCTCCTGGAACTGAACCACAGCCGAAGCATGGCTTTTAGAGATCTAAGCGGCACCCCTTTCTCTATATTCCATATTTTAAAGCAGAAATCTCAACTCGCTTTAAAGAATCACCGCCAGAATCACCTAGATAACACTGAGCATCCTCATCAAAACCCAGACAAGATCGAATCCTTGACGAAAGATGCTACTAATGAAACTCCGTCAAGCAACAGTAATTCAACACCTCAACTCAAGCAAATGGACACACGGGCACTGATGTCCTTCGGTGACACAAACATGATCCATGAATATGAAGATGACCAGTCATCGGAAGACACCGAATCTCTCAGCCAGTATCGAGTAAGCGACCTTTCTTCTGCAAACTTCATGCAATATAAACCACAAACGAGTTTAAATCTTCGAAATTCGGACGAAAGACTGAGAGAAGACGTAAAGCTACATCGTTACAAATTTGATTTCAAGCCGAATCTGAAATTCTCAGAATCGGATACAGAACCGCAAGATGTTGGTAAGCCGTACTTTCTGTTCTTAATAAACCTAACTGTTCTTTGAAACTATGTACTCATTCTTCATGCCTTAAAATTTCTTCAAATGCAAAACACAGTATTAAATCTGTAATACCACTACAGAGTAGAAACAAGGCATGTTTGAAACTTAATTTTATAAATGCTTCCCGTTTGGTATAAATTTAGATTTTCTCGCTTTAATAAAAATGTTTTTTTTAAAAACAGTGCAACTGTATAGCTGTATCATTTTTAATACCAGTGCTAAAAATATAGTTTTTCAGAATTTTTCAAAATGTTTGGAAAAATTATTTAATCTTGTTTATAAATTTTATATTTATCTTATTAGAATATTTAAAGATTTTTTAATTTTATTGAATGTGCTATGATAATCTTTCCTAATTTAGAAGAAATTACAAATAAAAATAAAACCTACAAAAGAAATTTCTTTTAAAATTCTGTTTTTACTGCAAAAATTTTTCTAAGGTTAATCTTTGGTTTTAGTTCCGTACTGCACATCTGTTATTATTCTTACTCTCTAGAGTAAAAGTCACATATTTACTTGATACATTTATCAATGATACATTTATCAATGATACATTTATCAATGATACATTTATCAATGATAGGTTGCCACTTTGCCTGAAATGTAATAATAAAAGGGAATTTTAAGTTACTATTACACTATGTTTTTATCTATGAAGTTCATGCACACTATAATTTTATTTAAGCAATATGGTGTAGAACTATAATTTAGAATCAATAAGTTCGGAAACTAGCTGTGTTTAGTTGTTTTAAAACAGTTTTTTTTTTTTTTTTTTTTTTTTTTTTCATTATCTTTTCTTTAGAGATGAATACACTTTTATGTATCAAGAGATCTCAGTATTGAGTGCAAAAATAAGGAATTGTACAAAATTTGCTTGTACTGAATTTAATATCAGTTGTTGAGTTAAAATTTGCTTGCACTGTTCTTTAGAAATGATTCTACTATATGAATAGAAATAACAATAATTTAACCAAGTTATGAATTTGACAGTAAATTCCAATTTTTAGCATTATTTGGTAATAGATTATAACTGGTGTTGATATTATCCCAAGAAAAGGTTTTTTGAAACTAGAAATTTACAGTTATCTGTGATTTGATTTGCCTTTACTTTTCATTTCATATTTTTATTAAGTTGTACTTTTTTGAAATGGTCATGGAGCTTATTATAATTAATTTATTATACTCTTTACCAATATCAATACACAGTTATTAATTTTCATACGAACTTTCTAGCTTAATTTATGAGGTATTAGTTTCATTGTTTAAAATCTGTAATGATAATTATAATGTTGGTATGCATTTTTTTTTTCAGTCGTTTCTCAGATCATCATATCAATTTTCAGTTTTCTTAATAGGATAGCTTAATAAAACTTTTTTTGTCTTCTTTCTAGAGTTTTATGCATTTACTTTATTTATTAAATGCCTCGTTCTTGACGCTTACGCCACATAAAATTCGATTTAACAGCAAAATCACAAAATATTTAAAAATGGCATATCTTTAGAATTCCTTACTGTGTTACCACTGCTTGCTTTGAAATCTCTGAATTTGTTAATTAAAAATTCTTTAAAGTTTTACGAAATATGAAAGAGATAAGAAAACAAATTCGAAATTCAAAACTCGGGCTTCCAGTCGACCATGTTCGAGGAGAGGACTACGTTATTCAAAATTGATGGCTCTAGGTACCGTTTTTTGTCACTATGCGAGAAACATTCATACATACATGCAGATTTTTCATTACTTAACTTTTTTAATATACGGCAATAATATTTGGTGACAACAATTTGAAAAGTGATACGCCATTTGCAATGATTCAAAGCAAAATGCCGTTTCGAGACTAATATCCATTCGGGCTAATGCCCCTTTTGGGCTAAAAATAGAACTGCTTTTTAACCTACTTAAACAGTCTGATCCTCAAGTTTAAGGTGAGTAGAAAATTTGACAAAAATGCGATGCGCATAGTTTTATGGCCCATATATTAAAACAGGCTAGTTCTCAATATAATTGTAAGCAATGGAAAATTAAAGAATGGAAAATTTGAATTTTGCAATTAAATAACCAAAATCCAATTTAATTCATATCGCAAAAGATTAATTACGAATTTAAAGGACATAAATTATCTTAATTTATCTATTTTAAAAATAATCAAATACCTTGTAAAATTAAAATAATCACTTTTGCTCGTAGCATTCAGAAGCATTCCTCTTTCAACCGATTTGGCATGGACAAAAAGACTGAAATAAAACATATTTCAATTTAATATAAATCAAATAATAATATCTTTTCCAATATGATTCACTAGTTCCCAGTTCAATGTCTAGTCGAAGCAAAAATTTTACCAAAATTAAAAAGATTTAGTTTTCAAAAATCTTTCCATTATCCTAAATGCAAAAATGCCTGTTTGATAGTCTGATAATAAACAGCAAATTTAAAACTATTTTTGTAAATTAAAACATAATTTAGAATTGCATTTTATATTTTCTTTACTCATTTGAAAGATAATTCCAAGTGAATATTTTGTGATATATACCTCAGGTGATTGTATCATAATGAAATGCATTTTAATTTATATTGTCATGTTTCTTTCACTAAATGTATACCTTGTCTCTTACTGCATATTGTATTTAATCCTCTAAATGTCTATGAATATTTTAATCTAAATTTATTACAATTTATATCTGCATAACAGAAAGGGAAAATGGTGAGACTAATACATTACCATTTAAATAATACATTACTCTTTAAAAGCATTTCTTGCACACATAATCTCAAGATTTTATCCATTGCATAAAAATTTTGAAATTGAATTTCATCGAGTTAAGTTCGATTCATGCAGCTTCAGTGGTTGACACAAAAGGCGTCATATTCTCGTAAAACAGAAGGAGAGAATAGAACTGTCCCATTTCTTTTCTTTTTCCCGCAGTATACATGAAACATTCCCAATTATGTAAGGAACATTCTCCTTCCTTTCCGCATTCCTTCGTTGTGAAACTGGAAATACGCCGGACGCGTTATTTGGGAGATCCGGAGTTCGAATCATGGCGAGCGCACTGTACATTTTTTCTGTTCCTGCGTCGAACCTAATGACTGTACAAGCTCAAAATAAAAAAGAAAGGAGGGATGGAATTACTTTAACTAAAAAACGAATTGCGTTAACCCCCTATAAATGTAAACAATGTAATTACAGTTAGATTACACTGTAATGCAAAGTTTTGCTAAACTGCACGTAGCATATCAATAAAATCTGTAAACAGCCTATTCCCATGCAAATGTAAGTAGATACTCGAAACACTAGCATCAATAAATTTCACTAATAAATGAGTATCTGCTATAGTTTTTTACATGCATTAATATTTACAAAACTGCGTTTTATAATGTGTTATAAAATAACGACAAGTGTTTGGTGATTTAAATTTGCAGCTTGCTCTTATTATAGAATTACTAATTAAATAACTATGTTACAATTAACTAACTGAATTAATTAAATTATCATTACTTGTGTGTTAGCCTAGTAACCAGAAGCAGTTTAAAAAAAATATTTGTAGTTTTATAACGCCTTGGAGCACGAAATATAATTAAATAGTAATATAAATAGTCACATATATATATATATCTTCAAACTTCTCTTTCAAATTTTGAGGACCTCGTGTAACTTAAGACCAAGCATGCTGAATAACGTTGAACATGTTTGAGATATTAATTAAGGATTTAGTTATCTTTCACACTTGGGATATGTACAAAGTTAAAAATATATCTTTTATGGCTGGATTCCCTTTATTTGTGAAAAAGTTTATTCTTCAGTTGTGCTTAAATGTATATAAAATTAACAAAGAATTTTTGAATAGGTTCCTGCCCACAATTAAAAATAAATTTTATCTGATGAAATAATATTGCATCTATTTCGATAGGTTTATCAAACTGGTTTTTTTTTTTTTTTTTTTTTTTTATATATATATATATATATATTTTCCACTAATATATTGTCAGAATCTAAGAGCGTTAAAACCCTATTTTGGTGATTTATCACTCGTGAAGCATTAACATATTGTTTTGGTTTATATGATTATATGGCAGAGCACGTTAGGGGTATCTAACTTAGGTGTAAAGAGCCTTTTCGAGGACTTTCTAAGGGAGACTGCCTCGTATTCATTAACACATGGGGAAAACCGCGAAAACGCCCGTACAAATAGCCCATTCGCCTAGAATCGATCCCAGATCGAGCTACCAGTGGTCGCGTCTTTACCGCTTGGCCATAGGTCGGCCACCTAAGTATTGTATTTTCTGGACTTTCCATCAGATGATAAAAAAATATTTGTGAGTTTTTTTCACTTTTGTTAAAGTTTAAATGCTTATAAAAAATCTGTTAAACCACAATAAAATATGCAGAAAATCTAATGTATAGGCATTTCAAAAGTCCTAGTAATGTCGATTAAACTCAAAGAAAATTATGTTAAATTAATGCAGTATGAATGAATATGTAAAGGAATTTTGATGTTAGATAAATATCGTTTGACCAAGTAAAGTTTTAAACTCAACTCGACTAAATATATGTTTTTCATAAAATAAAAATTGAAAGCAAAAACGTTAAATTCTAATACCAAGTATAAATAAGTTGTATTCTGATTTTAAAGAAAAGAAAATTCTAATAAATTAATTAAGCGTAGTAGTAAATGCAAAATTAACTATATCTGTATATTTTTAAATCCAATAGTTCAAAAAATTTTTAATTATCATAATTCCATAACTCTTTTACTATTTTTAATCTTAGTTTCATTTACTAAGGAAAATAATACATGTAAAAATTTGAAAATTTTAAATGAAAATATAACAATCGCATTTTTAATAACTAAAAAATAACAATGATGTAATGTAAATAATAATGCAGTTAATGTAAAAAACACTGCACTAGCTTCAAAGCTTTTTTTTTTTTTTTTAAGTTTTTCGGTTTAATTGCTCTTGCC